CCCTAGAGTCCCCCAGTGAGGGGCTGGGGTGTGGCTCAGCAGTAGAGCACCTGCCTAGAATCCCCCAGTGAGGGGCTGGGGGGGGGGTCAGTGGTAGAGGCCCTGCCTAGAATCCCCCAGTGAGGGGCTGAGGTGTGGCTTAGTAGTAGAGCCCCTGCCTAGAATCCCCCAGTGAGGGGCTGGGGTGTGGCTCAGTGGTAGAGCACCTGCCTAGAATCACCCAGTGAGGGGCTGAGGTGGGACTCAGTGGTAGAGCTCCTGTCTAGAACAGCTGTGCATTTCCATAATAAAATATTGTACAAAACTAGGATGGAAAAACAACTACAGAACGTCACAGAGACTCAGAGCACAGACAGCTCAAGGAACAAAAGAAGTGGGCTAGTCATAAAGAGTGGAGTGGAATAAAGGAGAGTCGGAGGAACGACCATGTTGGGGAGTGCGGAGGAACAGAGGAACACAGCCAGGGCCTGCTGCACGGGAAGAGCTGTGTGTCTCATAACACGGATGTTTCTGCTGTGAATATGATGCAAGTTATTTAAGTTTTTATGGTTTTTATTATTATTTTGAGTTAGGGCTTCCCTGTAGATCCAGCTGGTCTGGAACTCACTATGTAGACCAGACTGGCCTCAAACTCATAGAGATCTGCTGCCTCTGCATCCAGAGTGCTGGGATTAAAGATGTGTGCCACCATGTCTGGTTCTTAAGATTTTATTTTTAATTTGTGTGTGTGTGTGTGTGTGTGTGTGTGTGTGTGCGTGTGTGTGAAAGAGAGAAAGAGAGAGTGCAGTGCCCACAGAGGCCAGAAGAGGACATTGGGTATACTCTGGAGCTGGAGTTACAGGCAGTTGTGAGGGGCCATGTGAGTGTTGGGAACTGAACTCTATATACATGCTTTTAAGCACTGAGCCATCTCTAGCTCCTGATCTTCCAGAGAGGGGCATGTGGATATGTTGAAGAGTAGGCAAGAGTCCAAGAGAGTGTGGCTCAGCCTGGGATGGTGGTGCACGAGCATGCCTTTAATCCCAGTACTCTGGAGGCAGAGTGTGGCTCAGTGGCAGAAGGTAGAGTTATGGAGAGTGGGGATGGATCATGTGGGATGGACATGGGGAGACCTCCCTCAGGTTTCTGAGGCTTCCCTCCCTAGTTCTAGAGAAGCTCCTCCATCATTGGCACCAGCCTTAAAAGTAAACATGGCTCCTCTTCCTCTTGCCTGACTGCTAATTTCCCCAAACAGAATTAAGTCTGATGCCATATTTACAGTGTCCCCATTGGTTCAAATATTGAAGACATGGTGATATGTTAGAACACTTCCCTCCAAAGACAGGGTCTCCTGAAGCCCACACTGGCCTCAAACCTTTTATGTAGCCCAGCCAGACCTTGAACTCATGATCCTCCTGCCTCTGCCTCCCAAGGGCTGGGATTACAGGCATGTGCCACCACACCCACTACCCCCTTCTCTTTGGAAGAAAAGACTATTTTTGGCTCATGGTTTTGGAGAATATCAGCCCATCAAGGTATTAAGAGCACAGAGGAGTTCATAGCAGCTAGAACATGAGGTGGAGATGCTTTATACCACAGTGGACCACAATGCCTCTTCCTGGCTACTAGAGGCCAGCTGCTTCTTCTAACACAGGCTTCCTGTCATGATGTACTGCCTCACCACACTGGAACCTTTGAAACTGTAGGCCAGAATAAACCTTTGTTCTCCACAGTACCACAGAGGTCAGAAGAGAGTGTCAGATTTCCCTAGAACCGGAGTTATAGATGGTTGTTAGCTACCATGTGGGTGCTGGGAATTGAACCCCGGTCCTCTACAAGAGCAGTCAGTGCTCTAAATCGCTAAGCCATTTCTCCAGTCCCTAAACCTTTGTTCTTTAAACAAATATTTTATTTTCTTATTTTGTGTGTGCATGCACACAAGATGGGGGCGGGGGACACGTGCCATGGCACACAAGTGGCAGTCAGAGGACAACCTGCTGGAGTCAGTTATCGCCTTTCATCATGTAAGCTCCCGTGGACTGAACTCAAGTTGTCAGACTTGGTTGCAAACTCCTCTGTCCATTGAGCCATCTCACTGGCCCATCTTTATTCTTTATACGATGTTTATTGCAG